TTCACACCTTCCCTTTTTCCTGTAAATAGGCATAAGTATGTAATATAAAGATCTAAATCTTTGATCACAGATTACAATTCTCAATTTTAATATGGATTCATATAGTTAATAAAAAAAATTAAGTGGTGCTTATAATGTGTTACAACTTAAATAAACAAGAAGATTAAAAAAGATCGTAAACTACAACTAACAGAGAGCCTATTAAGCATGGCACCACACTTCCTAAATATAAATTTAATTTTCCTTCAGGAAGTATATTGTAAATACTGGGTCTATTTAAAACAATTATACAGGAAAATAATATTTAAGTATATGATGCCATACTGTCACAAGTTAATAGTAGCCCTTGTGAGCTCTTTAGTGGGAATGCATCATAACAAACAATGTATGGGTCAATCAAATTAAAGGCCAGTTTCTGCATGCATTCAATTTGGTAGGATTAGGATAGTACACATGAATTTGCTACATTAACAAGCTCCTAGATTTAGGAAAGAGAAGCAGAACAATCTGCTCAAATGTATTTTGTTTCCAAAAGCAAGGATTAAAAACAGCACTAATAAGCATGGAATTAGTAGCTAAGGATCCATAAACAATTCTGACAGTAACTTCAGGAGCAGGTATGGAGATCTGCTAGGGAGAGGTGAAGAAATACTTATGAGAACAGAAAGGGAACAGCAAACAGATTTAGCAGCACAGAGGACCATGTTTTACCAGGGGTCAGTGACTCATCAGGGTTTAATATAAATAGGACTGAAAGTAGGGACTGGAGTTTAAGAAAAGCCAATCATGAAAAATGCTCATTTAAAGAGCAAGGAATTGCTAGGCCTGCAAAACCAGAGGGGCAGCTGTCTGAAGTAGTAAAACTCTGCTTCCCAGTCCCTTGAGTCATTGAACAGAGTCCCTAAACCTGAATTGCAGAAAGATCCCTGGAATTTGTAAGCAAAATTTAAAGGCCTACTCCACCACAAAGCAGCTTCTGCTCTAGCATGGGACCATCACCAGACTCCCATTAACTAACTTACAAGGGTCAAAGTGTTTACAATATTTTATTATAGAAACATGTTGTTATTCTGCCCTTTAAAACTGTCTGTAGAATCCAGTATTCAAAATCAACCACTAATCTATCATTTTTGTATATGAAGAAAGTGAAGAACAGGAGGCAAGGAAAGAAAGCCATATTACTCAATTTAACACATCGGAGAGCATGCTCCAGAGAGATTAAGCGTATGCGTAGACAAAACGGGGGCCCTAAATTGAAATGGTGGGTTTTAAAAAACACCA